TTTTTTCAAAACTGGGGATTGAAGTCAAGCCCTTGCGCTTGCCAGGCAAGCACATATTCTACTGAGCCATCTCTCCAGCTATAGTGGGATGGAACTTGGGCCTTCACACTGAGCTGCATCTCCAGGTTTCACTAAGTTGCTCCGGCCAGGCTCACATGTGCTATCCTGCCTCAGCCTCCCAGAATGCTGGAATTATGGGAAATATGCACCAGCACACCCAGTGTGAGAGGACTTTCTAGGTCAGGTGGAGGAACTGGTGCCATTTTCAGGCTCTGAAAATCCAGGGACCCAGGGTAGGGGCAGGGAGCTTTATATTAGGCTTCCTATAAGAGATCTGAGAACAGTGATGAGTGGGGAAGCAGCCCTGAGGAGTTCTTGTTGGAAGGCTTTAATGTCTCAAAGGAGACTCATCCTTGTTTCTCTCGTTTATTCATTTTTGCATTAAGTCAACAAACATTTACTGGTGCTCTGTATGTACTAGGCACTGGCCCAGGTTTTAAAGGCACATTACTGGACAAGATAGTCCTTCGCTACACGGGTCTTATTTTCTAGGGGAGAAATGGACCATAACCAACTCGTTAATGTCATGTCAGACCAATGCTAGGAAGAAAAAGCCACTGGAGAGGTTTGAAGGCGACAGGGGCTGCTGTGCTCTCTAGGGTGATCAGCACCCGCCTGGAGGAGGTGACTTCTGAGCACAGACCTGAATGAGGACAGGACACTGCCTTGTGCTGTCAGGAAGAAGATTCCAGCCAAAGGTAACAGCGAGTGCACAGGCCCTGAGGCAGGAGCACAGCCAGAGCAGGATACTTGCTGGAGGAGGGGGAGGAGCAGCGCAGAAGCTGCGGCATGGCCCCGGGAGGAGTGGGCAACTCAGAGTGGCCCAAGGGGCAGGGGCAGGAAGATTTATAAGTTGGGGTCTGGTCTGGTAGCCAGAGGTGGTCACCAGAGAGAGGGAGAGGGAGAGGGAGAGAGAGAGAAGGAGAGGGAGAGGGAGAGAGAGAGAGGGAGAGGGAGAGAGAGAGAGAGAGAGACAGAGACAGACAGACAGACAGACAGAGAGACAGACACACAAAGAGACAGACAGAGAGAACATCTCCTGGTGGGATTGACGTCCCTTGCTTAAGAGGTCTCAAGCAGGAGGCAGATTCCAAAGTTTTCAAATCAATAAAGACTCTGGGACTTGGAAATAGGAGAAAAACTGCGATTTTTCTGGGAAAATCCTGACCACCTGGTTTTTTTTCATCTAAAAAAAAAAGATCTCATTAGAAGTTTTTGCAAGGCCGATGCCTTGTACAGTACCTGGCATTCACTGAGCATGTACTGTATGCTAGGCTTGCCTGTGGGCTCATGCAGCAATAGCACAAATAATCTGCACAGCGAGGTCTGTGCCATTGCTCTGCCAGGTCACAGATGAGAAATGGCGGTTCTGAGGCAGGAAGACCCAGGGCTGCGTGGCAAGGAAGTGTGGAGTTGAGTCGGAATGAGGAATCAGAATTTGCCATCAGGTGGCTTTACAGGCAGCTGCTGTTCTCCGCTGGGCTGCAGTGGGGTCAGACACGACCTCAGCCCACACCCACTCAGAGATTCTGTCCAGACAAGTTCTCGCGCTGCCCCAGCTTCTAGAACAGTATGGTGCTGGTGCATGGGATGGGTCCCTTAGTAAAGTAGTGGATGCAATGCAAAGACTTTTTTCTGCCAGTGTTGGTCATAGTGCTGGCTGAGGCCACAGGTGCTGGGTGAGCACTGTAGGGTGCCCTAGGGCAGTTGGTCAGGTTCTCCTGAGTTCTGCAGCCCAACTTGTTCATGCCCAGGGGTGTTTCCCCCCTCCAGCTGTCACCTTGTCCCCCATTTCTCTTTGATGTCAGCCCTATTCCCGCATGCTTTCCCTCCCAGCCCAAGCTGAATACCACTGCAGTTTAGCCAAGGGAGGGGCGTAGTGGTCTGGAGGAGGTTGGTGTCTTAGTCTGTTTTCTGTCGCTATAACAAAGTACCACAGACTGGGTAATTTATAAAGAATGGAGGTGCTTGTTTAGCTCATGGTTCTGGAGGCGGGGACATCCAAGCTGGTGCCTGGTTTAGGCCATCTTGTCTTGATGCAGGGACCAAGCTGCGGTGTAACAGACAAAACAAGCGGGCCAGAGAGCTGGCTGCCTACGTAACAGCTACTACTATGATGCCCACTAGGCCTTTCATCCATGAGTAGGTTAATCCATTTATAAGAGCAGAGTCCCAAGGCTCAGTCACTCCTCAAAGGTACCCACCTTTCAAATACCATTAACCTACGACTTTGGGATTAAATGTCCAGCCTTTGGAGACACATTCAGATCCCAGCAGGTGTGTTTCATTTGGCTCCATAGTGATCACATGGAAGATCTGGATGGCAGGAGACTTCTCAGAACTGGAGCTGTCCCCAGGTTGAAACCAGGCCACAGGAAGCCTGCTGAGGGGTGGGTTTTGGCCACAGTGGAGAAGGCTACAGAACAGCAGGAGGGGAGGACCACAGGGGCTGTGGGTGCATCCCTCATCTCTCCTTTCAAAAACATCTTTTTAAGTAGCTCTTGCACAGGTTAAGTATTATTTCAAAATAATTTTTAGTGGTAATCCTTAGACATATCAAAAATATATTAAATATTAATTCAAACTACCCTTAAGGCACATAGTCAAAATTCCTCTTTTTCCTATCCTCTGCTCACCAATTCTCATTATTGAACCCAAGTCTCTTTTTTCACCTGTCACAAAGGGCTTGAGGATAAGTCTTGTAACAAGAAGGATTTATTCCCTAACCCCAAGACAGATGTCAGTGGGGCAGCATGCTGGAATCCCACCTTCCGAACCAAGGTTCAAGCTCCTGTCATTTTTTTTTTTTTTTTTTAATTTTGTGTGTGTGTGTGTGTGTGTGTGGCCAGCTCAGCCCACCAGGGGGCGGGGCTGGCTGGCATGTGGTGCTGGGGGATTGAACCGCGGGGCCTTGTGCTTTAGCTAAGCTTGTTCTAAGTAGGTGCTTTAGACCACTGAGACATCTCACCAGCCCCCACTCCTGTCATTTTTGAAACCACTCATTTTCAAAAATCACTCACTCATTTTCAAAAATTATCATTTTTTAAATGATTGCTGAAACCAGGTGCCTGGCAATCTGTTGATTCGCATATTTGACGTGGGGGAGGAGAAGTTAGGGAAGTTTAGGGCCAATCAGCTTTGTGCTGCTGGTTTAAATGACAGCAAGAGCTGCTTACTCAAGGAACCATAGATTTTTCTAGTGCAAGATAGTACTGTGGTTGAGTACAATGTGGAAGTTATGGGGCCAGGTTTTCTTTGAACCCTAACCCTGGCTACAGCCTCAGAGGCGATTTCTTAAGAATGCATATTCTATTTTTAGTTATACCTATGTATGTGTGTGTGTGCCTTCCTCTTGTTAACAGAAATAGTAGGAAATAATATTCAAGGATGCTCCTTGTTTGAAAAACCTAGTCATTGTTGCAATCATTCTGCAAGACGCGTAGATAGAGCTTGTTGAGTTAGTGGCGATTTCTCTCTGATGCACCGCATTTGTCAGGATGGTCCACTGTGGGTTTGCAGCTTGCTCTTCCTGTTGTTGCTTCTTTGCTAGGGTAGCCAAAGGGGCCTCGAGCCTGCGTACACCTCATCCTTCCCTTCTGTGACTCTTCAGCAGAAGAATCTCATAAATGTGACTTAAAAGTTCTGGTGCTTTAGACTGCGATTATACGGCTAGATTATATGACATTCCTAAGACATGGTGTAACCCTGAGTACTCATTACCCCAAAGCTCCACCAACTTGGTGGTTTTTTGTTCATGCTAATTTGACAGAATATATATATATATATATATATATATATATAGTCTTAATTAAAACACTATAGTCTTACTAGGTGTAGCCTTCTGTTGATTGGTGTTGAGTCTTCCATATGTTCTGCACGCCTGGTCTTTTTCTGTACTGTGCTATCCTTTGTGTGTTGGTCAGCTTCCTATTGCTGTAGTGGAATACTGGAGATAAGTAACTTTTAAAGAGCAAGGGTTTATTTTGGTGCACAGTTTTGGGATTTCAGTCAGTTGGCCTTGTTGTTCAGGGCCTGTGGGGAAGTGGGAGTACGTGGAGTGGTGGAGGGGGAAATAGAGGGGGTGGGAGGGGGAAAGAAGGGAAGGAGAGGGACAGAGACAGAGACAGAGAGATGGAGGAAGAGAGGGAGAGAGGAAGGACTGGGGTCCCTTTGAAGGCATGACCATGGTGACTCCGAATTTCTGGTAGACCCAATCTCTTAAGCCACCTCCCTGTTACCGCCATGGACTGGGAACTAAGTCTTTAACATGTAGGTCATCCCAGATCCAAACTGTGGCACTTGGTCTATGTTTTAAAGAGCATTTTGCTCTTTCTTGTTCATTACTGAATTATAAGGGCACTTACTATTTCCTCCTGCATCTCTAGTCCCAGCGACAGATGCTTGTGTCTGCCAGCACCCCGCCCTCATGAGCAGCAGCCTCTCTGATATATTTATGACATGTTTATCCTTAGAATGGGGTGTAGTTTAGAAAAGTAGGTGATGTTGATTTATGCATGCATGTATTTCAAACGTACATAAATTGTATTCTGCTATAAATCAAGACCTTTTTCCTTTTAGAGCCAGTGTTATTTTTTAAAGAATCTATCCAATGGATGGGTAATACTTGGCTTATTACTTCTGATTGCCATAGTGTCCTGGAGCTAGAGCTATGGCGTATTGTGATGATTGGATCTTATTGGATTGATCTAGATAAGGTTGTATGGAGCAGGGGCATTATGGGAGAACCTTCGAAGGGTAGAGAGAGAGGACAGGGTGGATGGAAGGGAACCAAGAGGATAGGACAGGGGTGTGTACCAGAGTACCAGAACATTCCAGGAAGGTCCTATAGACCGCTGGGACCATGGGGGCAGGGGTGATCATAAAAGACAAGGTGGGAGACAGCTCACATTGTAGGATTGCACTTGCCCTAAAAGGACAAAGGGAAGGCAGTGGGGAAAGGGTGCTGGGAGTGGAGCGTGTCCACTTGGTAAAGATGTTTCAGGAGATGAGTAGGGGTAGAGAATTAGGTGGCCTGAGGATATGAATTCTTGAGAGAGATATAGTTCCTGCACAGCTGCAGATGTGGACACAGGAGGTGGGGGCTGGGAGGGTAAATGGGACCTGTGTGGGGGTAGGGCAGCAGAGCCTGTAGGAGACCAACAGAACCAGCCCCTGTAGCCATTCTGGTGGCAGTACTGCTCACCAGGGCAACTGGCAGGTCTGAGGCTGCCACCTGGACCATGGGATCTTTGACCCAAAGATTGAAGCGATGAGATTGGGCCATGCATTGCAAGGGTTCTGCTGAAGGCAGTTAGTACTGGTTGAGACAGAGACCGAGCTGCTGTCACAATAGGTATGTGCTGACTTGCTCGGGTTTGCCAAAGTGGAACTGTCCATTGGCCAGGACACAGTTGCACAGGTTATTTCTTCTTGTGATAGCCTTGAACCCCTGGGTCGTTATAGGTCAACTTATCCTAGAGGTTGTTGAACCTTATCCAAGATCCTAGTGTGTAGCTGGCACTAGGATCTTGAGCAAAACGCCATGGTCTTGTGAGTTTGTCCCCTAGGAGAGGGCTGAAGGACTTCCAGTGCCCAGGCTTTTGTGGCTTGGAAGAAACTGAAAGATGGGGGCAGAAAAAAGAGGAGAGAGGAGGAAAAGCTAACCCCGCCCAGCCTCCTCAGACCATAGGCCATGCTAACCCTGCAATATGCTTTTGGGCTAAGCATTTTTAAATGGCAACATATCTATGTGCAGAGTGGAGGAGAATTTGTTAAGATAGCAAAGGATTCAGACACAACTGAAAGCAGAGATTTCAAGATTTGTTTCCTGTTTAATCACCATCAGGAATTTGTAGGCTCAAGTGAAGGATTAGTGATTCTATTAAAAGTGGACTTCAGGTCCCTGAGAGGTAAAGCAGGTAGCTGTATCCCTCACACACATCATAGGTGTATGACCTCCAAAGCTAGGGATTTCTAAGTTGACTAAGGGCCAGTGAGATTAGAGGACTGAGACTTTTTTTTTGGTACAGTTTCTCATTTCATGCATTTCATTTTGTGCTTCTCTGGTTTCATCCAGATCTGCTGATAGATCTATTACAACATGCTGCACTACAAAGGGTAATGGTTTACTGTGCCCAGGGATTCACTTTAGTGTCCCAGTCTTCTGTCCTGTCATGGTGATCCATGCCTGGGTCAAGGCCTATCACTAACTGGAGTGTTCCTGTCGGCAGGCAGGACTCTGGGCTGCAGAGAGAGTTGTAAGTCTTTGGGGAGGTCACTGGGAGGTGAGCTCATGGGAGTATGAGAGCAAAATCACCCTGGAAGAACCAGAAGGGCCAGAGAGAGAAGTGGACAGATCGGCTGAGCCGGCCAAGGACACCAGTGCAGTTCTGAACTCTGCTTTTCCTGGCCGCTGGGCTTGAGAGAGTGTGCTGTCTGCATGGAGTCTGCCGCTCTGGAATTTAGGCAGAGGCTGGGAGTGGGTTGTGTCCAGCAAAGCCCAAGGAGCATCCCAGCCTTCCTGGAGGCTCTGGGTGGGTATGGAGGCTGTGTAGGCCTGCTGAGCCAAGAAAGAATGGCCTTAGGAACCTGGGGGCAGAGGGAGGGCAATCTTAGTTGCCTAGGCAGGAGCTTCATGGTGGAGGCCTGGGTGCTGTTCCTGCCAAGAGCTGCCAAATGAGGGTGTCCATTTGTCCTGGGCATGCACAGGTAGAGTACGAATTCACCCTGTTGGTACAGAGGACTCTGGGAAGCTCTGGGCTTCGTTATGATGCTCAGCGTGAAGGGTGGCTACCACCAGGGAAATAGGTCACCTTTCGGGTGGCCCAGGAAATACCCCGCTCTGAGTCATGCCTTCCTCCTTTACCTGGTCAAAGTTCACCGGGCCTTCCTTCCCTGCTTGTCGTGCAGCCTGGGTTCCTCCCCAGTGGTTGATGGCTGATCTCCCGAGAAGTTCATGCTGGAAATGTCGACCCTTGCTGCTTGTTTAGTTTCCATGACAACTGACACCAGACTCTTTCTCAGCTCATATTATTTATTTAATATTGTTCTTAAATCCATGCACTTAGAAAACAGCATGAAGTAGGTACAGTATCATTTCCTTTATCATGTTCCTAGGCATAATATTCCAGGTTTCCCATAGCAGCTATATTTTTTTCTAATGCCTATTCAGATAAATACTTCATCATTAAAATGTC